CCCGGGGGGAGGCACGGAGGTGGGGTCAGGATAATGAACCTGGAACTCCGGCGGCGGGCGAGAAGCGTTTCCTGCGAGCCACAGCTCCTGCTGCGAAGGGAGGAAAAAGCCCCGCAAACCCTGAGCGGAACCCAGGAGAGCCCACCGCCCCGCACATCACCGCCACAGCCGGGATCTCAGTGCCCGACAAGGGTTTTGGGGCAGAGGAAGGGGAGAGACTGGAAAAAAAAATCTGGGATTTATTTTCCTGCAATTTTAAGAAGCTAAATTATAATTTAGCATTTTTGTCCCTAAGGGTCACATAAGGACATCATATCTTACCCATCTCCGATAGCAGCGTAAAATAAAAGAGATCCCAACAAAATGAAACTCAGTTTCCTGACTCACAGCCACAACTGCACCCTACAGCAGAGGTACTGCAAGAATGGCCAAAACTGTTATTTTATTTACAAGCAATAAAAACACCGCTGGAAAAAAAAACCCCACACCTGGTGTACAGCAATTTACCTGCCCTGTATGCTGCCCGAGGTGAGGTTGCAGGTAACAGTAGCAGGTTCTCCATTTTTCACAATTTTTATTCTTCGGGGCTTTCTTTGCTCTCCAGCTTGTAAACAAGAGCTTGCCAGGGAGGAAAGTACACCAGGAAAGCTGAAAGTTACAATAACAAGCCTGGCAAACACCAGCACACCAAGGTAAAAGGAAGAATATACAACATAAAATCCCTGTTTCCTAGGCTTTAAAATAGTTTGTTCCAAATATTTTTTCTCCCTTCTGAAAAAAAGGGAAGGGAGATGACTCCTGCAATCCTACCTGCATATTTGTGGAAAGGATGGGGGAAAAAAAGCAAATAAATACCCCTAACTACCTTCCACCTGCTCATTTACATTTTTTCACTGACTCCTTCTAGATACCAACAGTATCTAAAACGTACCTGGTTATAGCACTGTATAGCTTCATATTATGCCTACATTAAGCTAACTGTAAAAACGGTCCTAAAGCAGCAGGTCACTGCCTCCACCCTTCTTCCTTAACAAAGAACAGCTACCTGGCTGCCCCACACCTTTATGTGGAGCGTGCAGCTGGGGAGTGAGGCATTCCGCTCACAGACCAGGTGAAAACTATTCCACCAACACCAGGAGAAAGGGCCAAAGGCAAGGGGGAAAAGACAAACCCCCCTGACAGCAGTGGGCCTCAGAGGGGATTAAGTGTATTCTGAAACTTGACCGTAAAGCCCCATTTTGTGGATGGATGTATAGCACCTCCCTGTAACAGAAACATGCAAACAAATAACAGCTCTGTTCACTAGCTTCAGAAGTTTTATTTGAATAAAAATGTAACTCCATGAAAAGACTATCGCATCCAGGTTCCCCATGGGCGGTCATATTTTTAAATGTGCACAAAACTTTCCCTATAATGGCTTTCCAATAATACATGTAAAATAACTCACTATCGCAGATTTCACTCTTTGCAGATAGTGCACACCAAAACCTTCACTTTGATTTTTTGCTGTCCGCCTGTAAGATGCTACGCAGCCTAGAAACAACGCCCATGGGGGTGTCCCTCTGCTGAAGGGCCCCTCCAGGAACCCTGTCCCGCTACCTACAGGAGCTCTTTTCTGCAGCTGTTGCTTCTTTTCACGGAACAAGCTCTCATTATTTTTTTAAGGAATATCTGATTACAACAAGGAGAAACCTACCACTATTCTATGTGATATTTGCTTAGCAGGTGAAACAGTGAGTGCCATACTTCAGCCCTGAGTATCTCCATCCTTCCCCAGTCCGACATGGATGATAAAGGGCAATGTGTGAATGAGTTGTAAACTGAACTCTTGATACAAAAGAGCTCTAAGAAAGCACTCCAGAAGCATGTACCCTCATGTCAGGAACACTGAAGGTGTTTGACAAAGATACCACACCAATATCCAAGCAGTCTAGCAGCAGAGGAAAAACCAGGCTGGTTTTCAGCGGCTCAGTGTGGCTGTCAGGTTGCTCTTTGCTCATTATTTGTTTTCACAACAGGATGAAGTAAAACTTTTCTCACGCTGCTGCCTGTCAAGCCACTAAACTCATGTACCAAAGGGACCCACTAACTGATTACCCTGTCAGGAACATTTATTAATTCCAGTTGTACAAAGTGTCCACAAGGTCACCTCTCGGTGTTACTACCCGGTCGGTTTACAGCAGTAAGACAACAGGAAGGCAACATGCCCAAAGGAACAGCAGCAGGAGCTCTGAAAGGTTCCATGATCCCAGCTTGGCATTACCTTCCTCTCCATCCTCTAAGGAACAGGGAGACAAACGGAGCCCAATCTGCCTGCGATCATCAGTTTAAGGGATTGCTGATCATCAAGTAGATAAAAATGGGCTGAGTTGAGCACAGGCTGCTATCATCAGCGATAAAAAATCTGGTTTACACCGTACTCATAAAATCAGTGGTACATAGCTTTGATGCTGTCCTGTCAAACGATGACACATGTACATATGCATTGGTTCTTTAAAATAATTTGTTTGATCTTTTTGGTTTACAGCAGGAAGAAGCTGTTAGAAGTAACAAGAATAATTTATTCTTTTAAAATTAGAAAATCACTACAGCTCACATCTGTATAGCAGACCTGTCACTCAGCTGTCACTCGGCACAGCAGTTAACTAAGTTTCTGCAACATTATTAACGGACCCTGCAGACAGCACCTGATACTTCTTGTATTTCAAAGTTCACTGAATCCACTCAGTGAGCCAAAATGAAAACGCTTTGTTTATCGGGGCATAACAGCTATACCTGTGATTAATGCTTTTGCTCCCTTCTGGAAACAAACAAACATCATTATCTAGGCACAGGGTAAAGCTGCACATTCTTCAGCTCTGTTTTACAGGAATTTAAAAATCATTATTAGTTTGTGGTATTACAGACTAGGTTCTCACTCAGTGTTTCCCAGAGAAAAAAAGGAAAATACAGTTTCTGCTGCAACAATCTAATGAATAACAGAGAGAATAAGTATTTACCATATATAAAACATGAGACTGTCAAACTAATAATGGCCTGGATTTTAAAAACATATGATGAAACTAATCTCCTTGGACATTGTGGTTTACCAAACAAGTCTTTTAACATCTTAAATGCTTGTGCCCATGTATTTGCAACTACGTACAAGTGCAGGTATGACAGAATCCTCACTCAGATATAACAGCAATTTATAACTCTTCAGCAAATGCGTCCAAGCACTGAGAAACCTGAAGTCCAGTAAAAAGTCACGGTTCAGATGATAAACTGGCCTTGGCAGCGGGTGTGGCTTACACCCCTAAGAAGTGAACGTTAGATTACGGGTGACATTTCACTAGATTATTGATAGCATAGCTGTAATTAAAAGCAACTGTCATGAAAGCAGACTTTCCCCCTGTATTTTCCCAATTAAAGAAAGCTAAACCCCATCCCTTTAGTTATGCTCAGCTACAAGAGTTTCTGTATATCCCTGATGTTCAGTATCCATATCAGCTGATATTCAACGGAGCAATCAATATTACTGCATTTGGAGCCCTTTGGAGCCAGCCCCAGACGGCTGATGCTGGCTGAGAAAGCAATAACATTTAGCATTGGGTATTTCTGCACATAACCGATCCAGCGAGACCAGCCAGTGCTAACGCGTCTCCCCGGCTCCCTCTGGAGGCTGACAATACTCTTGTCATTCACCATGTGAAAAAGGTTACCTCCCAGAACAAGGATTTTGTGTGTTACAGGCTTCCATGGGCACAGGCTCTAGCCTGAATGCAGACAAGCCCGTGTTTCAGTTGCCAGCTGCAGATCTTTCTCTTCGGTTTCTAATCAGAAAGAAGCCTCCCTCCCATCCACAGCTGCAACATATATAAGGGATCAGGCTCAGCTACTCTCATTTTTTTTCCTTGAATATTTTGGGGGAGGTGTTTTTTTAGCTGCAACCCTCAAGAGCATGGAGAGTACTTGGAGAATTTGTGTTTGTTTCTACTGCTGCCTTCACTGGCTTTCTTCTAGCATCCAGTGTTCCCCCCGCTCCAGGGGTCGGGTCGTCTCTGACAAGACCTCTGGGTTATTGGCAGCTCCTGAGGACACTGCCAGCGAGCTAAATCCATTGTTGCAGCTGCCAAAAGGTGTGAGACAACGTGGATATGCCCTCCTGCCTCCCCTGCTCAAGGTGCTGTCTGACCGGGGACACCAGAACTGGGAAAGCGAACCCCCCCGGCTACAGCCAGACTCCAGAGCCCTTCGGTACATGAAGAGGCTCTATAAGATGTCTGCTACCAAGGAGGGAATCCCAAAGGCTAACAAAGGCCACCTCTATAACACTGTTCGACTTTTCACTCCGTGTTCTGAATGCAAGCACAGTCACAGAGACCTCATGAAAGGTAGGTGTGCAGGGACCTGAGTCGCAAAGGTTAAGCGGGGGTTTTTCCATGTGTTCCGTGCTTGCAGAATAATATAAAAATATCTTCTTTCCTTAGAGTTGTTCCTGTTTTAATCCTGATGGCTCTCTTAAACTCCAGGGGTTTTTTCTTGAGTGGCATTAGACAGAGACTTCTCCGCAGTCCGGGAAATGCCACCCAAATGGCACTGTGCTCAGGGTGATGGTGATGTTTCAGGCTGACTCAGTATGAGTCAGGGAAAGCCACTATCATTTCTAAGCAAAGTAAAAAAAGTGGGAAAAAATGATTAGTCATAATGGGCACAATGTTTCCTTCTAGTGCTTATCTTGATTTTGCATTTTCCAAGGCCATAAAAATCTAGCACTGTGATGAGACTTGTAACAAGCTGCCTGAATCCCCTTGCAAGATGACTTTTCTTTGCCTTGTATGTTTGCTAGGGAAGAAACATGCCCCAAATGTGTGAATATCCTGAAGGGAAGAGTACAGCTACTCGTAAATCAGGCTTAGGACTGAAAAACTAGGACGGCACTTTGTAACTTAACCGTACTTTCCTGGTTTTCTTAAATGTGGGCTGGTCACAGCAACAGACAGTAGAAATCCTTGGCCTTTAGTTCTACTTATGTGACTGCTGACAAGTGATCCAAGTTCTCCTGGCTTGGATTTGTTCCCGTAGAAAGACAGATAGCCTTAAACACAGACGTTGTACTTGTGCACAGTGACAGCACTTTGACATTGAAGTTTAGTTAAGAAGTATTCACTATGGGAAAAAAAAAATGTTTTTTTAAAAAGTCAGTGTTTATCACTCGAATTTCCTGGCACAGCATCATGTACTGATTCAGAAATATCCTCACAGTTAACAGTTAATCTCATGATTATATATCCTAAATGTAGTAATAATTAAAGCAGCAGCCCCAATCTGAACCAACTTCCTACAGTTATTGAGGCTATTCAAATTCATCATTGCAGGAAAATTAATTAATACAGGAAATGTAAGCTTATCAAGGTCTGCAGAACCCTCAGCTGATTATCAGGCCTGTGCAAGTTTGATGAGATCATTCAGTGCATTTCTGTGGTCAAAAATTGACAATTGCTGATTTACAGAAAAAATGCAGTGGTGAGTAGTACAAAAAGCAATATATTAAACATATGTTGCCATTTCTTGACTTTTAAACCTTCTGTCCCTGACTAAAGTAGAAATTCCATGTAATAAAAGTAGGGGAGGGCATCTCGTTGGTTTCTTCTGCCACTGAATTATTTCTACTTATCCACTACACGATAGTATTTATTAGCATTTATGAGTATTAAGATGCACTAACTCTACAATATATATATATATTTTTCTTCCTTCTCAGGAGATGTTCACTCGGTGGATTTACTCTTCAACCTGGACCGTGTTACTGCTCTAGAGCACTTACTCAAGTCTGTCTTGCTCTATTCCTTTGACACGTCAGTTCCCATTTCTTCTTCCATTACATGCATGTGCCATTTATCCATTAAGGAGCGTGATTTTTCTAGCCAAGTATGCCCCAGTGTGTCACACACGATAGCTTTTAGCCTGCACTTTCAAGTTAGAAAACGCAAGTGGGTCGAGATTGATGTGACTTCCTTTCTCCAGCCTCTAATCGCTACTAACAGGAGGAATATTCATATGGCTGTGAACTTCACTTGTCTGATGGGTGATCCACAACAGAACACTAAACTGGAAAATGCCATTAATACGGCACTGGTTCCCCCTTCTCTTCTTCTTTATCTGAATGATACCAGCGAGCAAGCTTATCACAGGTGGAACTCACTTAGACACAGAAGGAAAAACCCAGTGCGGCCCCGGCAAAGGAACAGTCTGCTTGTTGGTCCTACGGGTGACAAAGGACAAGAAAATTCTCAGGGTAAAAGGGCCTCTCGGCGGCGAAGAGATGGGAACCTGAAAGAAGCACCAGCAACGCCGCCTCATAATCTGAGCGAGTATTTCAAACAATTTCTGTTCCCTCAAAACGAGTGTGAGCTTCACAACTTCCGTCTAAGTTTTAGCCAGCTAAAATGGGACAGATGGATAATCGCACCGCACAGGTACAGCCCTCAGTACTGCAAAGGCGACTGCCCAAGGGTCGTCGGGCATCGTTACGGCTCTCCCGTGCACACAATGGTACAGAACATCATTTATGAGAAACTGGACTCCTCTGTTCCAAAGCCCTCCTGCGTTCCTGCCGAGTACAGCCCACTGAGTGTCCTAACCATAGAGCCCGACGGCTCCATAGTCTACAAAGAGTATGAAGACATGATAGCTACCAAGTGCACTTGTCGGTAGTGGGTGAGCCCTAGCTGATTTTACTCTGGGTTTGGGTGTTTTTGCATTCTGGAGCTATAACGAGCTGAATAGTGCAATTCTAAGAGCTCTATGAAGTCGGTTAGGATTTAGCATGGACTTAGAAGGTGTTTCCATCATAGCACTTATTTTTGTAGCCACTCAGCCTTTCTAGAATGTGAAACAAAATGTAAATAATGCCTTTTTATCGGAATAAATTTGCATTTAAAACATGGAAGAGGTTTCAACTGCCAGATGCCTATTTTAAGCTGGTTTGTTGTAGATTTAAAAAAAGAAATAAATGCCTACCACACACACATTCAGTCCCTGCTAGTCTTCCTCTAGACAAATCTTTTGTTGTATGACATGTATAGGAAGAGAAGAAATCATGTTAAAATTACTCTCTCAGTTTTTCATTCTTTTTTTTTTTTCCCCCACCACTCTTCCCCAAGCGAGAAGGCAACTCTTCCTTACAATTCTGTGAAAAATTACGAAGTTGTTCCTCGCTTCTGTCACACTCTTGGGCCTTTCCCAACGGTGGGTGGCGCGAATTTCAGGCTAGCTGTGTGGTAACTTGTAAAAAACCTTAAATCACTGAACTAGGGGAGTAGGAAGTGGCACTGTCTCACTGGAGGGGTTTAGATGGGGCTCACAGAGCTTTAGGGGGGATTTTATCCCACAACCAGCCGCC